TAAAAAAACCGTTAAATTAATTTTCTTTTGTTTTTATTATATGACGTCAATAATTTTAATAATTATTTTTTTTCTTTTTCATTCATTCGTTCATTCATTCATTCATTCATTCGTTTTTATAAATAACAATGATGATAATAATAATAATAATAATAATAAAAATAATAATAATAATAATGTTGATATTTTAAAAATTCGAATTTTTATTCGATAATCATTAAAAAAAAACTTTTATGAAGTTTACGAGGGGGTGGAGAGGGAAATTACTCTCCGAATCGAGTTCTTTTCATAACATTTTTTTTTTTTGCATTTTTCTAATTTCAAATCTGATTTTTCCAATTTAAAAAAAAGAACTAAAACACGTGTTATTAAAACAACACGTGTATATAACCCTTTAACGAAAAATGACTTTTTCACACATCAATCAAAAAATAAAAAAATGTCTAAATTATTAATATTATTATCAATTGATTTAAACGAGTATGCGTGTGTGTGTGCGTGAGTGTACGCACGAACCGATAAATAAATTTAATTTAATTTAATTATAATGTGACGTACGAGGAAAATAATAACATTGAACCCCTCATGAAACATTTCCGTCATATTTTATAAACGTGAAGAAAAAAAAAATGCATTGCATATTCTCTCTCTCTCTCTATCTATCTCTCTCTCTAAATATATATATATATATATATATATATATATATATATATATATATATATATATATATATATATATACGTAAACAAATAGATATAGTGACGTCAAATAGGAATTTGATAAACGAGTTTAATATAAATTATCGATTCAAAACGAGACATTATTGTGTGTGCGAGTGAGACAAACTGAGACTTATTTCTTTTTCTCAATAATAAAAAAAAAACTGTTAGCGATGACGACATCGACGACGCTACCACGACAAAATGAAATAATAATAATAATAACAAAAACAAACAAACAAACGGAAGTGACAAAACAAAAACAACAACAAGACGACTTATTTTCCACACACATATATATTTAAATCAATATTGGTGAAGAATAAATTTTAAAAGTATTAAACTTTTCTCCACAAAAAAACAACCCATTTATATTTTTTCATTTTATAATAATAATAATAATAATAATAATAATAATAATAATAATAATAAAATCGATATGTCAAAGTTTATTGATTAAACGAAAATATTTTTTTTTTCCATGATAAAAAAAAAAAAACCCTAAAGGAATTTTATTTTTCTTCTTTCATACGAAAACCCTTTAAAAAAAAAATGAAGAATA